TTCACAAACTGACTGACTCACTCATTCATTGACTCAGTCACTCAATGAATCACTGACTGACTGACAGACTCACTCCCTCACTGACCAACTCACTCATTCACAAACTGACTGACTCACTCATTCATTGACTCAGTCACTCAATGAATCACTGACTGACTGACGACTCATAAACTCGTTTGTAACTGTGTCTTCTCTGTGATCTGCCTGCTGAAGCTGGGAGGTGGAGCGTTCAGTCGTGTTCTGGCTGACAGCATGACCCGTGGACCTGTGGTCAGATTACCATCCGCCTGCAGGGCTGCTGAGGTCAAAGCCTGGCTGGAGAGTACAGATGGTTTTCAAGATGTCAAGGATGCTTTTGACAACACCAGCAGGTAAGATGATACATCCTTTTATTGTCACAAGTCGGTACAGAAAATAAAGTTTTTTCTATTCTACAGTATTAATGTCCTGTTGCAGAGCGCACCTGCATCTAGATGCAAGAAAGGTCCCAATCAAAAATTGAGTTGCCACATCAAATTTCAACTTTGTTGCCACAATATGTAAATTGAACAGACCCCCTGGATTATTTGAGGAAACTATACAGTCTAGTTTCATATTGCTTAATAATATTATATCAGTGTGCCCCAGGGCAGCTGTGGCTACACTGCAGCTCACTGCTGTCAGTGTATGAATGTATGTATAAATGGGTGATTGATTGAAGTGTAAAGTGCTTTGGAGTCTGACAGGACTTGATAAAGCACTATATAAGTGAAAGCCATTTACCATTTATAATTTACTCAAATGATTGGGGTGGATGAAGATAAATCTATGATRTCTAAGGCCCCCATTGTCCACCTGGTTCCACCATTACACCTGGTGGTGGATGAAATCTCTCTGTTCACCAGGATGTGTGACAGCACCGCCTCAGACAAGAGAAACAAACCTCCCTCTGTTCTTCTTCAGTTTAACTCTTATCTGCTTGATCTGGCATCAAAAACATTCAGCTTTACTTACATTCTTTGTTCAATTCCAGTCCARACAAACACTCATCTCATCAGCTACAAACTTTCATTTGTTAGATCAATCCCTCGRAGACAGGGGAGCAGCTTTCAGGTTCTTCTTGTGTATAAAAACCAAGATGGTGCTTCTTGCAGGTTCGCTCGGCTGCAGAAGCTCCTGGTTGGTCTGGCTGGGAGAAACCTTTACATCCGCTTCCACTCCAGGACTGGAGACGCCATGGGGATGAATATGATCTCTAAGGTACTGTTCAACGCTATTAAGTTTTTAGACTTTAAGACTACTGTATAAAACTAAAATCAGGCCAACATTGTAAATAAGAAACTGTTCTTAATGTTTTGCCTGTTGAAATAAAGGTTAAATAAATAAAAATAAATAAAAAACTAAGACCTAAAGACTTGAATTTAKTCCAGTGAGAGGTCATCTTCCGATCAGGAGATCAGAGGTGTCAGACCCATAAATTAAAGGTAGTATCTGACTGGACAGCAGCCATTTGGGACTAGTTGTTGAATCAAAACTGTGAGAAAATCAAACATTTTAAAGCTGCAGTCTCATTGGTTTCTGAGTGTCTACAACTTAGTAACCAGCGAGTTGTGCCACCATGTTTTGTGTGGTCCGTCTTTGAAAATCAATAATAAGTATTTTGTGGACACGGCTTGTAAAACTGTATTATAGGACATGCTCATTGGGACTCATGCAAGAACATGTTTGTATTCTTCTCCTAAATTTCTCTTACTTTTGTTCGTACAAAGGGTTCGTACGAAC